CGGGCCCCGGGGCACGGGGACGGCGCGGGGATGGCGGTCGGCAGCGGCCCCGCCGGGCCCGCGCAGCCCCCGCTCCCCCGCGGGAGGGTCCCGGCTGCCCTGGCCCGGGAGCGGCTGCTGCAAGCGCGGGCGGCGGGGCCGCGGCTCTGCCTGGACCTCGGTGTGGCCGGCGGCATGACCGAGAAGGTACGAGGGGGCTGCCCGGGGGGGTTGCTCGGGGGTCCCGGGGATGCTGCACCCCGCATGTGCCCGTCCCTGCCCCAGGCAGGGCACCGAGAGCCTGGCGGGACCGGCCCCCAGCAGAGCACTGGTGTGTCCCCGATCCCGCTCGGTGCCATCCCTCCCCGTCCCCAGGAGAGCGGCCGCCTGGCCTCGCAGATCCGCCGGCTGTACGGGGCGAACCGCCGTGCCGCCCGCCCCTTCTGGTTGTGCCTGACCGAGTTCGCGGCAGGGACGCCGATCTACGAGCAGTGCCTCCGCATGAACGACGGCTTCGCACGGTACCTGGTGAGAGCTGAGTCCCGTGGTGGGGACTCCTCGAGAACTTGAATCTCATTTAAAATTAGATAATTGTTGCTGTTCTCCCTTCCTCAAACCACACCAAAGACTTTTGATGAGGAGAGAATTTAATAGAGTTTGAGATATGTAGTGTTCAGTGCCTATACAGAACCATTTTCCAACTGAAAGAGGAAAACCCAAAGCCAGTGTTTCTGTAGGCATTTATACATCCAAACAGCAGTGTCAGTCCCAGGATATCTGTGTCTGGGGGGTTATTTGTTCTGGCAGATAGACCTTGAGCTGATGGGCTGCTCCTCTCCCTGCCTTGTGTTTTTCAGATGGATACAACTCCAGAGAGTTACCTGGACCTATTTCCTTTGGATGCCATTGTTTATCTCACTCCTGACTCTGAAAATGGTAAATATTTCACATGCTTTGGGCAAGGGCTGAAGGTTGAATTTTAGGAATTTCTTTTTTAGGTGGTTTTGTGCCTCAAGTGAGTGGGTTCCTCACATTCCCAGTCCCATATTGCACAAGACGTGCTGTGTGCTCAGATCTGGTGCTAAATCTGCTCCCGTGGGACCTGTCTGTCCCTGAGCCTCAACGCCCAGTGAGGGGGCTCTGCCCACTGCTGTCCGTAGGAGTGGGGTCTGCTGGGAGAGCAGCATCTTGCAGGATTCACTGCTGTGTGGGGCTGAGCCAATGTCCTTTTCCTAGTCCTTGAAGACATCAATCCGGATAAGGTGTACGTGCTGGGAGGGCTGGTGGACGAGAGCATTCACAAGGTGGGTGCTACCTGCTCCATTCCCTCACGAGAGCAGAGATATCCCAGTGGGGTTGCTGCCACCAGCATCCCTTTTCTCTCAAATCCTGCCCAGACCCAGCAGTGGGCTGGGCCAGGCCACAGCAGTGCAGGTGCCACGAGGCCCAGGGCAGGTTTTGGCTCTGTGGCTCCTTGTGCCACACGTGTGTGAGGCTGTGTGGCAGCGTGTCTGTGTGTCCCTGCAGCAGCTGACCCTGCAGAGGGCACGGGAGCAGTGCCTGCAGACAGCCCGACTCCCCATCCGTGAGTACATGGTGAAAGCCCCCAACTCCAGGAACTACCACTCGGAGACACTGGCCATCAACCAGGGTGAGGAGCTGCTCTGGGGCTGTGCCGGGGCTGGGGGGACATGCTGGAGTGTGGTGTGATCCCTGCTGATCCCTGTTCCGAGGTCTGTGTGCTCCCTGGGGGAGCTGTGCATGAGGCAGGGCACAATCTGGTGGGGGGGTGCTGGAGGGCTGTTGTTGGGAGGGTGGGAGTTCAGGGGCCTGTGCCAGGCTCAGTCCAGGGAGGGTGTTGGTGTCCTGTACTACCTTGGGCTGGCACACTTGGTCACAGCAGAGGATTGCAAGCTGGAATTGCAAGGTGATTGGAGATGGGCTTGTGTCCTGGGCCAGCTCTAGAAAGTTCTTGCCCCTGAGGTGGATAGGGGCTCTGTGTGCCCAGGGGAGCCCTGAGGTGGGGTCTCAGCACCCAGGAGTGATGGTGTGGCCCAATACAGGGGGGGGTCAGCTGTCACCCCTCCCTGGTGTTTGGTGGGTGTGTAGAGCTGCTGGCACAGGTGTGTGACTCAACACCTCTCTGCTCCTGACAGTCTTCGACATCCTGTGCACCTACTACGAGACGCAGAGCTGGCCAGCGGCCCTGAAGGCTGGAGTCTCTTCTGGAAAAGGCTTTGTGCTACGGGAGGGAGCAGAACGGGTGGAAACAGCCCAGCACAGCACCGCCCAAGGAAACTCTTTATTTTGTGAAGAGCTGCACAGGCAGGAGGCACCAGCGTGACTGGGCACAGGGAGCACAGTCGCTTGTCAGAGCAAGGGACCTTTCCAGAGCAACACCTTCTACCTCAACAGTGCCACGCCAGACAATCTTCATCCCCCTGGGCAGGGAACAAGAGCTGGTGGAGCCTGGGATCAGTGAAAACTGACGTGAATTCAGTTTTGCTTCCTTGCAGCTGTTTGTTTGTGACTCCTGCACCTCCACTTGTTGTGGGATAGGGAGGAGAGCTCTGATGTGTTTCCTTCATTTTAGTTAAACAGTGAGTAAGGTGAAGTTAGGATTGCAAAGCTTATGGGAGAGGAAAATCCCTTCCCATGGGACAGGACAGTGCTGCTCCCACAGGAGAATGCAGGATGGGAGGCAAGGGCACCATGTCCCAACAACTTAAACCCAGTTGAAGACTTGGTGAGTTGTTGAAGCCTGTAGCTAGTTCTGTGCATCTAATCTAAAATAAAACGTTTAGATCCCCATTGTGTCCTTACAGTTACTATGTGTGGTACCTTGTCATGTGTGACATGCACAGGTGTGTCCTGCTGGGAGGTACCTGGGCTGGGCTGCACCCTGCACAGTGCAGGGATATGTCCCACAGCCCCAGCATGTTCGTGCAGCTGTGTCGATGTGTTACCTCAGCCGTTGCTGCCAAAAGAGACCCAAAGCCTCACAGCCACTGGCAGTGAGACCTGAGGGCCGTCTGAGGTAACTATGGTTATGTGTTTTCATTTCTTTTCACAGCAAGAGTGTCTCACACACCTGGAGTTCTGCCCAGGTGAGGCTGTCAGAGGGGCCCCAGCAACAGCTGTTGGGAGGGCTGTTGTGGTTTAACCCCAGCCAGGGGTTAACCTCTGCTTATCCCCAGGTTAACCCACAACAGGGGCCCAGGGTGTTGTGGTGTCAGCGGTGGATGTGCCCTGGGGGCTCTTGGCAAGCTGGAGGTGGAGGTGACCCGCTTGGGCAAGCACTGCAGTGCTGCCTCTCAGGAGATGCAAAGTGAGACCACCTTCACAGCTCATACCTGGCCAGGGTGAGCTGCACCTGGTGGGAGTGAGGACAGAGGCTGGTCCTTGCCCATGGAGGCCGTGGAAGGGTCACTGCACAGCTCTGACAGTGGCATTTCGGTGTTGGGGCTTGCTGGTTCCTTCTGGCAGACCCAGAGCTGTGAGTAGCATGGGGCTGGGGGGCAGTCAGGGACTGCCTCATGCATCACCAAACAGAAAAGAGTTGCTGCTGACACAGGAATTGCAGTGGAAGAGAGGGAGATGGTGCTACCTCCCCAGCCTGGGACAACCATTCCTGCCCTCAGATGGAAAAGTGGGTGAATACAGGATCACTGCATTCCCTTGGCCACAAAAGGTGGGCAAAGCCACCTGAGGTTCTTCACATTAGGCCAGGGTGGGGTTTGATGTCTCAGAGCCTGCCTGAAAATCCAGGAGCGGGTGAAAGTTAGGCCAAAAGGGTCCTGTCCTTCCCCACAGGTGACAGAATGTGGCTGAGACAATCCCCTGAGAGAGGACACCTGCATGGCCGCTGGGAGGTGAGGGATGAGCCTTGGGCAGGACACACACGCCACTGCAGTGCTCCGAGAGCACCCTTGGGCACAGCATCTCTTGGGGAGCCCAGCTCCCCGTGGCACCTCTTGTGAAGGACGTGTCCTCCCATGGCCGTCCTGGGGCTGTGGGGCTGCACATGGCCATGGGGGGAGAGCCTGAGGTGGACAGAGGGCACACAGCTGGGCACACAGCCGTGCCATCGTGTGCCCCCACCCAGCCTGTCACAGCCACGGGGGTGCCCTGAACTGCTGCAGGAGACAGAAGATGGCAGCTGAGAGGGCCATGTGCTGGCGGGCAAGGAGCTTGGCCCCCAGCTCCGGGCAGCCCTGTCCGTGGAGCTGCTGGTGGACAGCCTGCACCAGCCCCTGGTAGGTGCCCACCACGTCCCCCAGTGCGGCCCCCAGCTCCCGCTGCCTCTGTCTGCAGCGCCAGCAGTGCGTCACCTGGAAGCAGGTCACTGCCAGGTGAACCAGGCGGTCAAACGTCGCCCTCAGCGCCCGCTGCACCTCCGTGAGAGGCTGCTCCGTGCTCAGGAGCGCTTGGCAGCTGGACAGCAGGTCCCAGGAGGCCCAGCCCAGGGCACCCTTGCTGTCTGCACCCTGCTCTGTGCACTGATCTTGCAGGTGGGTGGCCTGATTCCCAGAGAGCTTCCCCACAACCTCCTGGAGCTCCGCAGTGTAGGCCAGGAAGGAGGAGAAATCTGCAGGGCTCAGCCACGCCTGGTCCTTCAGCTGCCCGAGCGCCTGGACATGGGGGTCCCGCCCGGCCACGTCCCCCGCGATGGACACTGGGAACCCGCTCATAGGGGTCCCGGGGAGGCTGCGGCTGCTGGTTGGGGGGGTGGTGAGGGGCCCCAGAAATGGAGGGGGGCTGGTTTCATGCTCCCCCTTGTCGGACTGGTGGAAGCAGCCGATGTAGGGCAGGCGGCAGCCACAGCTGTCGGCGCCGTGTGGGGACAGAGAGCTCTGTGCTGGGGAACAGCCCCGGGGCATCACTGGGATGGGGCAGGAAGGGGTCTGCTCACCCTCCTCCTCGTTAAAGCAGAGGAAGGAGTGTTTCACAGCCCTGTGGTCTTCTGCCTCTTTCCCCAACAAGCCCAAGGAAATTGGGCCTGAGTTAAACAGCCCAGGAGATGGAGCCAGGCAGGAGTCCTTCCCCACCTCAGGAACCTGTTCCCTGGGAAAAGAAGCCTGTGCAGGCTGCGGCTGCTGTTGAGCCACATTCCCTGTGTGTCCTCTGGGCTCCCCATCACTATCACCCAGCCCCGAGCTGCTCAGCAGCTCCTGCCCAAAGCCTGCTCCAGCTGGGGATGTTGGCATCTCCCTTCCCACAACGTCAGCCCCTGTGCACCCACTGGTTCTCTGAGAGGCCAGAGGCTTGAGTGGGACATCCACCCTGTCCTGTGCCAGACTGAGTGATGCGAGGTCTGTCCTCACCCCAAATGAGAGCCAGGAGAGGCGGGTGAGAACCCCAGAGGCACCACAGTCTGCCAGGAGCTGGGCTGCGTCTGGAAACCCCACGTGGCCCTCGTGCACTTTCCGTAGGGCCTCCCCATTCACCACCTGTGGGCTCCTCGCCCGGGACTCGGGCACATCACTGCTGCCATCAGCACAGCAGCTGCCACCGGCTCTGCTCTTCTGACAGGGAGCCGGGAGCAGCCCCTGGTCCTCAGCCACCTCCTGGGCAGGGGCCACACTGGGGTCAGGAGCCAGTAGTGGTAGCAAGAGTTCGTCAGCAGGGCAGGTCCCCTCCTGGCCACAGGATGGGGTCACAGTGCCAGTCTTGTGCTGGGTGACCATCACCTTGTCCCCCTCCTCCAGCGCCCCTCGGGCCAGCCAGCCCTCAGTGGGCACACGGTTTCCCTGGCTCAGCACCCTGGGATCTGTCTCCAGTGGGGAGCTTTCCTGGGCAGCTTCGCTCTGTCCTCTGGGCAGGAACTCCTCTTCCTCTGTGGACAGCAAGGGGGGGTGTTCTGTCGGGAGGCCACTGTCTTCCTCCCCACGCTGGTCACCAGGACAGCGAACCGCCGAAATGGATGAAACCACTCCTTCCATCACCGACTTTGTCTCCATGGTGTCAGGCTCCATCTCCATTGGGTCACAGCAGGAATTTGTGCCAGCAACGTCCCTCTGGGCCTGGGTGGCCACAGGAAGCCCCGTGCCCACGTCCTTCCCCGTGTCCTCACCGAGGAGGAGGCTGGTCCCCATGGAGGGGAAACTGACCTGGGAGGTGTAAGTGGTTTTCAGGAAAGACCTTCTCTTCTTCAGGCTCTTGGCATACATCAGCTCCTTCTCCCCCTTGTGCTTCTCCCTCACTGTCTGTCCTGTTGATGGGTCCTCCCCCAAGCTGTAGCACCTCAGTCTCTTGGGGATGCAGGAGGAGTTCTCTGTACCCTCCTGGGATGTCATATCATAGCCTGATGGCAAGAAAAAAACCACAGAAATCAGGAAACAGCTCCAGGCAGCAGAATATCCATATACCTATGCAGAGGGCCAAAAAACCTCTCAGCACAGCACCTGGAATCACAAACACAAATGAACAGCAGCAACACCTGGCTCCCAAGGGCCAGGGGAAACCATCTCTCATGATCGAGCACCTCCCTGGTGTCAGAGATGTCAAGGAAAAGGCAGAGCCTGTTTCTGTGGGTACAAACACCAAAGCTCATGGTCAGTTATGAGGGCTCTGGACAGTCCCCTCCCAGGTGTGCTGGAGTTGCTTCACCTGATGGCAGATGTGGCTGTAACTCCCCAGTTAAATTTGGTGACAGCAGCAGCAGCTAGAGGAACACTGCCCGTGGCTGTATGGTTATTATCAACTAGAAACACAGTCAGAAATTCCCAGCTGGATATTTAGATGATAAAAACTTCCAGAGATGACAATTTTTTGTCTGAACACAGTAGAGTGAAAACGCACTAGTGCAAAAGTCAAAACTGTTTAATGGCACAAACTAAATTCTTAAGAGGTTCAGTTAATACTGACAGAGCAGAAAAAAGAATCCTCTCCCTTGTGAGGAAATACAATGACTGGGGAGTTGCTCAGCCTCAGGAATCCTTGATCCAGCCACATAACATGTCCCTGACCTGAATATGACTTTTGATCTTGGGAAACAATGTTTTACAGGTTTTGGCTCTCCTCAGCTCAGAGGAAGAGAGCAGATTCCAGAATGCCACACTCATGTGAAAACTGACTTTTCCTGCGACCCAGTTCTTGGATGTGATAACAAATCCCCCTGCAATGTCATGCTGAGGAGTGGCTTGTGGAGCATGGGTGTTTGAAGGTCCTTCAAAAATCCTGGGGAAAGTTTTTTGGAAGGTGATTCCCCCAGGCAGACTGATGGGAGAACAGGCAGCACCCCAGCCCAGGTGGGAGGAAGGTGACCTGCAGCGCGCGGGTGTGGGGTTACCTGCCAGCGCGCCCGGAGGGCTGAGCCTGTCGGCGGCATCGTAGAACTCCTCCTCGGAGCTGGAGTCGCCGAAGCCCGGGGGCGGCTCCAGGACGAGGTGTCCATGCCCCGCGGGGCGGGCGCTGCCGGCGGGGGATGTGCCGTAGCACAGGCTGTAGTAGCCCGCGGTATCCATCTCGGACAGCCGCGTCTCCAGCGCGCTCGCCCCCGCGCCCTGCTCGGAGGGGCTGCCCCCGGGCCCCTCTGCCGCCGGCACCTGCAGGAAGCAAAAGTAGTCCCGGGACCCCGCCCCGTCGGGTCTCCCCGCCGCACACACAGGGACGAAGCTCCTGTCCGAGCTGCTCATCTCCTGCACGGTCGGCGTGTAGAAGTGGAACAGCTCTGGCCCGGAGGAGGAACACGCTTCCAACTCATCTTCCTCCAGGGCGTCCATGGAGTCGCTGGAGCCGCTTGTCTTGAACCCCCGGCTCTCGGAGTTGGCCGAGTCGGACGCCTCGGACGTGCTGTCCGTGGCATTGTC